TTCACAACACTAGTCGAAATGGTTAAGACATCCGTCTCGAAATGTAGAGAGGTTCAACTCCAATCGTGGCTGAAATAATATGTTTCGCAATAAATTATTTACAGCTTTTTAAGATGTTAATTAGCATTAAATTATAATATTATACAGCTTTTTAGGATGCTTATTAGCATCAATATTATTAAATTGCTTGATAATTTAATTCGTGATATTACTATTCCAGTTTGGTTTAAGATTAAAAATGTTCCGTTTAAAGACTGAAAATGATTACGACGCACAGTAGAATTGGATATATATATACAAATTCACACTGAAATATTTAAGTATTAGCATCCAATTCAGACTGATAAGACCTTTTCGTTACTTATTATGTATTCACATTGCGATCTTAAGACACTGTTTAGAAATAAATTATCTGTAACTACGTGACATAATACTTCTGTAAATAGTTATATTACAATTAGTAATAATTTTAATATTTCAATGGGAATAAGTATTCCTTAAAGTATTTGAAAGAAAATTTCATAATAGACGTTAAGATTTTGATGAATTTTACTTTAAAATTTTTTCTTATTTATGGGCAGAAGAATATTAACACATGCATAATTAAAGCCTAAAAAAAATTTATTGAAATTAGTATTAATTTATTATCTGAAATAATGTTTTAACAAAATTATACCGTGTGCCTATTGCGAAAATTGCAAAATGGTAGAGGACTTTTCGACTCAATTTAGTTTCATCTACCTTTCTGTGAATTATTGCTAGAGTCTCGCCGGATACTCTGTACATTGAAGTGCGCATTTGTAAATGTGTATGTAATATATAAATATATTTAAGGATATAGAATAATTATTACACGCTTGAAATGCATTCTGGGTTTTGTGTCTATTAATTTCTTACGAGAATAAACACAGGATCATCAGTTGCAGTACTCCCATAATTGTAAACGTAAATCTGATTTTGTCAAGTTGATCTAACGCATAAACGATCTGTAATACATCAAAAATATTTTCAAAAAATCAGCATAATAATATAATACAGTTTTTTATTAGAATATTTTTTTATATGTAATATTATACTTTACGCAAAATTCAATAACATTTGTTTTATCAGAAATTTATTAAAACGACGTCCCAGTAAACGTCAATTAACAGTTATATTACTGTTAATTGGTATTTGATGGGACTATTTATTTTTTAAAAATAATTATTTAATTTAAAATAAAGTAATTATAAGGCTCAATATGTATAAAACAATATAAATAATAACAGGGCATAGAACCAATATTACAATGAACAATTTTAATTAAAATAATAACATTACAAACGTTTCAACTCCGATAGGGTCATTTTCAATGCAAAACAACTTTATCTTAGAAATCCGGTCACATTAGTAAAATCTTACAAAATATTTAATAAAAATAAATATAACTTATCATAATGTCGCTAGCATAGTATTATCATAAAAAATTAATTGTAACATTTCCTAATAATTAAAGAACAATCTTGTCAATAACCTAAAAAGAGTAAATAATACAAAGTTTTAAATACCGGTTGCATTTATGTAAAACCTCCAAGAAACGAATAAATTAATAATAACATATCTTGACGTCGTGAGAATAATCATGTCGTTCAATGTAAAAAGTGTAAATTGTCCAATTGAAATTCAAGTTTAACTTGCAAATACGAACATATCTAGGAAAAATTATGTAATATGTAAAACAACCTTCAAAAGATGTAACAGAAAATTATTTTACCTTATCAGATGAATATAAAAAACCAGTTGTAACCAATTGAAATTCATGTT